AAGCAGCACCTTCTTGCCAAGGGTATCACACCGTCATCACTCGAGTGGGGAGAGCGTGCAAAGAATTGGTTTTTCGCTCATGGGGAACACCGACCAGAGAGGTGGAAGTGCGTTTATGGCGCAAGACCGCAAGAAGCAAAGAGAAGATTGTTTTATGCTCAGAGAGAGCTACCGCTAGTGGTGCGCTCAGCCCAACAGAGAGAGGATGAACCGACATACGCCATCGGGAGTATTGAACACGGTGGCGAACTAGAGGCAAAGGAAGTGTCTCATAGGAGCATGGATTCCTCAGATGCACCTTCCTTCTGTAAGCCGCCAGAGAAAGAAGGAAGAAGAGGCACAGCGGCTCTCAAAGGTTGGAGGAAGCGGTGCGTGAAGCACAGGAGCGGGAAAAAAACCTTGAAGCGAGAATGCAGGAGGAAATCAGAAGGCAAGTGCAAATAGCAGTGAGTGCAAGCAAGCAAGCATCAGAGCCTTGTACGATAAACTTCCCCACTGCTCAGTTGAATAGCAGCTGTGCTTCCACGGAGATACCAAATCAAGGGGACACAGGACTGCACTTCCCTATGGATGACGTCACTGAACCTTGTACATTGTGTGAGCTACACATTCCGAAGGGGAATTCCACAATCAAGGTGGCTATCGGTCTTGTTAATCCTATCAACCGAACCAAGACACTAAGGATTCATGGGAATATAATCCAAGAAAGATATGCAAGTGTCTCGGTAGATAAAGCTGAAAAAGGTTTTAGTGATTTGCCTCTTGACATTCCTAGAGGTGATGGCCGGAAGACTCTAGGAGAAGCAGAGAAGACATTCATTCTATGGCGCAAGCGCTACATCATCATTCCCGGGATGTCGCCTCCACCTCCTCCTGAACTACCTCACCATAGGTGCGGATGAAAACACTACATCATTAATTTATATTGGCTTAAATAATTAACAATCTGCTCATAATAATATGTCATTGTTTTTTTTTGTAGCAGATCCTCCCCCAACCTAAGTCCAATTGTTCAATCGCCAGATCATCATAGTGCTCTGTACGATGACAATGTGTTGGAAGGCGAGGCTGCATCCACACCATCTCCAAGGAGGTCTCCAACGCCGCAGCCGCCACCTCCAAGGAGGTCTCCAACGCCGCAGCCGCCACCTCCAAGGAGGTCTCCAACGCCGCTGCCACCACCTCCAAGGAGGTCTCCAACGCCTCCCCCGCCCCTGCCTACCAAGAAGCCAAGTACTAGCAAGAGGTCAGCCCCGCAAACAAAGAACCAGCCCCTGTCGGCAAAGAAAGCCACCGTGAAACCAAGGGCTATTCCCAAAATAATATCTGAAGAGAAGGAAGAAGTAACTGATGCATATAAAAAAGATATGTCCATATTCTATGACAAACTTAAAAAGGATCAAGAAGCAAGGAGAAATCCGGAGAAACCGTACTTCTTCGTAGCTCCAGATATTCTAAGAAAAAAGGTGACTTCTTACCAGCAAAAACAGCGGGAATCTCGTAAGCCGTCCAAAGCAACGTTAACGGACTATGACCGCACTCTCACCAAGTCAATTGAGACAGCACAAAAAAAGAAGCGGACAGGGAAAGGAGTTGCACAACTCGGACAATAATCGCACCAATCAGTTCCCCCGCTAGTTGTTGGTAATGAATATGGTTCGAATTTAGGATTAATGCATCAGGCAAACATACCTCCGGATGTCGATTTGGATCACCTTGGTAAATTTATTGAAGAGACTGATCTCAACCTTTACCAGATATTTGGTGATGGAAACATTGAGAGTGCGGCGGAGGTTGATATTTGGAAGAAAAAATTTGTATTAGGCCAGAGTCTATACAACCCTCAAGCCTTAGGTGATCTGGGGACGCAAATGTACCTGCTAAACAAGTGGTATATGCAGGCGTCTACCGGTGAAGACTTCTGCGTTGGTGTCAGAATTAGAGACGAACATTGGTTCCGTGGCGATGATGTTATGTATGTTGACTTTGCAGAATTTCATCAACTATGCCACCTGACCTCTCTAGACAAAGTTATCATTAGCTGCTATTGCCTGTAAGTAATAATTCTTTCGATCTATTATTAAACTCATCATATGTGTGTATATGCATATAAATTATCCTAACAAGTACTATATATATGCAGATTTACAATGACAGAGCTTAGAAATAAAGGCTGCAATGAAATTGGTTTTGTTGATCCTCATATAGTATTCAAAGACCCAGTTACTCCAACACCTAATTAGAAGTCTGAGTCAGAGAGTAACCTCATGAACTTCTTAGTGAACCAACGCCATAAGAAGGATATACTCTTCCCCTACAACTTCAAGTGAGTGTTAATAATGTCGATCATCCTTAATGGCTCATATGTTGATTCTAGTTAATTAATGAGTGTTATGCGTTATATCCTATAAACACATGCAACAATCACTTGATATTGATGGACATCGATCTGGTGAAAAATCACTTGATAATCTATGACTCGATGAGAAAACCACAACAAGACTACCAAGATATGATATATATTATCCAAAGGTAATTTCGGTATCTCTAGCAACTATATATACACACAAACATGATGATTAACTATATCTGATGACGTGGCAAATTTTTTATTGGGCAGTGTTTGGAAAACCTTTATTGAGAAGCAACACATGGGAAAATGCAAAGCGCCACTGAATGTAATCCCTTTGAAAGTAAGTCCCCTAAATCACATCATCTTTATTAATTAAACATATAGCTTTCACCGGATCACCAGATTGGATGACAAATCTTTTTCTCGTAAAGTGGTGTCTGAGACAGAAATAGGGGAACAACTATTGTGGTTACTATGTTTGCAAGTTTATCAAGGAGGTCTCCCAAAGAAGTCCTACAGAGAGACTCAAAATACGTTAAAAATACACTATATATTCATTTAATTATTATTATTGATTGTGTTACTATGTCTTTATATATATATATGTGTGTGTGTGTATGTACATATATTAACTTATTTTCCTTTAATTCAAACCTGTAGGCTCCATGGTTGGAGAAAAAGGTCATACGACAAGACCAGCTCAAAGCAATTCAAGAGTCCATAGCTAGATTTTTTAATGAACAGGTCATCGATTCCAAGGGCGAGTTCTACTTCGACCCAACACTGTCATGGAAGCCAAGCTAGAGGATGAGATGAAACTTATTATATCACAATAACTGTAATACAATCTTTTGTAATATATGCACATGAAATAATATAATGTAAAATACACATATGCATGCATGCATGTAAATATATATATATGATGCATGCATGAATATATATATATATAGTTCTATGTTTGAATTGTGTCATTTAATACGTTCATTGTGTTTGAACCGAAACATACTATACGCGCGTATAAATGTATTATTAGCAGCGTACAATACGACTTCGAAAACCTATTTTGAAAAGAAAACAAAAAATGAAAAGAAAAGAAAAAAGAAAAAAAAAACCTTTAGTCCCGGTTGGTATTACCAACCGGGACTAAAGGGTGTCGGCCTCGTGGCATGTCAGGAGGCACCTTTAGTCCCAGTTAGTGTTACGCACCGGGACTAAAGGTCCCCCTTTAGTCTCGGTTCCTGCCCCGGGACTAAAGGACCCCCTTTAGTCCCGGATGCTTGCTCCCGGGTGGAGAACCGGGAGTAAAGCCCGTCTCTGTACCAGTGGGGTTAAAATAGCCAAACCAAACATCTTCCATGCTTTTATGTAGGAAAAGATTTATTACATAACATGACAATCGCCTCAACACGATGGTATGAAAGTTTTGCCTTGGTCATGAGGTCGTATATGGTATTATCTTTTTTAGGTCTTTGTGTTCAAAGTCTGATTTGATATGGTATTATCTTTTTTAGGTCTTTGTGTTCAAAGTCTGATTTGATATGGTATCATCTTTGTTTTTTTATAAATTCTTTTACCACGCATTGTGCTCTAAGAATAGAAAAATGGAATCTAGCTCACGCTAATAAACATAATAGGAGTACGAGGGAACATAATCATGGCTCATGGTAAACAGAATAGGTATAGAATACCGAGTCAGGAAAAAATAGGTACATAATACCGAGTTAGGAAAAAAGATAAGAATATGGCTCACGGTAAACAGAATAGGAGCACGAGGGGACATAATACTCAAGGTAAAAAGAATAGGAGCACGAGGGGACATAATACCGAGTTGGAAAGAAGAAAAAGAAAAAAAACATAATATTGGTCACGTTAAATAAAATAGGAAAATGATATAGAAGTAAGATAAGGTTTTACCTAATTTCTAACTGTATGTTTTTATTTAGTTTAGGATTCCTATTCATCTTGCTCGGGATCGAAGGGATCTATTTAGATTAGGATTTCTAACTATTTAAATTATCTTAAGAACCTATGTTAAATATGCCACATATAAAACAAGAGAGTTGTAGAGAGACGAACAAAAATAGTTTCCTAGTTTACAGAGTTAGCTAGGGGAAGACGGACAAAAAAAAATTGAGGAAAATTTTAGCTCTTTAATATTATAGCTATATAAATAGAGATATAGATATATAGATAAATAAGTTTACTATAGAACCATATTTTATAACTAATTTAGTAATAATTATGACACATTATAAATATTAATATTTTTAGGCATAGTATTAATATGTTTTTTATATATAATCCTACTTGATTAAATTTGGAACTGGAACTGTTGAACTCATGGAGAAACTAGATTTCTGTTCTTTTTGGGTGGAGGCAGCAGGAGTGGTGACTGCCACCCACTGGATCGATCGGGCTGAGTGGAAGGGGAGCTGCTCGCTCGCTGCGCGGCCTTCCTTCCCGCCACCATCTTCTCGCGCGCCTCCGGCCGCTCACCGTCCCAACGAAATATCCCCGCATGCACATGCACTCCTCCTCGAGGCTGCTCCACCCCGTCCGGCGGCCTTCGGCTATTTATACACGCTCCCCGATCCCTCTCTCCCGTCCAGGCAGCCATTGCCAACCACCCACTGGCCAACTGCCCATGAGCCCTACCCCTACATCGTCGCCGCGGCAGCCCGGTGCGGGCGCCGGCGCCGGCGTGGCGCGGCACGCCGCGTTCAAGGTCCACAGGGACTCCCACAGTATACACAAGGCCACCTCGCCGCTCTCCTCGGGCTCGGGATCGACCAACTCGTCCGTGTCGTCGTCCTCCAATGCCATAATCACCAGCAGCAGCCACCACCGGCCGGCCCCGGCGCCGCAGCCGCCAAGGCGGCAGCAGCAGCAGCAGCAACCGGTAATCATCTACACGCACTCGCCCAAGGTGATCCGCACCAACCCGCGCGACTTCATGTCCATCGTGCAGAAGCTCACCGGCCTCGACAGTCACGGCCGTGGCGCGCCGCCCCCGGCGGGGCGCGTCAACTCGGGGTCGGTCGTCGCCGCCGCCCCGCAGGACGAGTCGTCTTCGTCCTCGTCCGAGAGCTGCGCCAACACCACCCACGCCGCGGGGCCGCCTCCCTACGTGGACTCGCAGTTGATGCCGCCTCCGCCGGCTCCGCCTCTGGACGCGCACTTCATGACGCCCGACATCCCGCTACTGTTCGCGACCGACGCCGCAGCATCAGACCTGCAGCAGCTCTGCGCGCCGAGGGGACTCTACGGCCAGTTCCCGCCACCGGTTGACGCTGTCGCGGCGATCGGCCCAGTGATGTCGACGAACATGAACAGCGCCGCCAGCAACGGTGGGGCCGTGTTCTCCCCGTCGATGGTGGAGACCGTGAGGACGTTTTCGAGCTATAATTAGGCAGGATTTTTTTTTTTAATTTAGTCAGTGCATGAAGCAGGCGATGATGCAGCGATGCAGGAGCCGTTGATATGCCATGTGCAATAACCGCAGGTCCATTTTTTATTAGTTTTTTTTATTTCATTTTTTATTAGTAGTAGAGAAAACAAAGAGAGAGGAGGATGAGTCATGGTGCTGCTTGCGATTGTGACAAGGTTACATCTTGATAGATGTTGCGACGGAGGTGAACCTAGCTGAGTTATACATCTACTACTAGTTCGTTTTTTTCCTTAGGCAGGCAGTGGCGAATCTATGATTTTGTATAAGGTATGCTGCTCAAAAAATTTTATATATAATTTGGTAATAATTATAAAATTAACAACATAATTCGGTATATATGGACTAAATAACATAATAAGGCTTAAATTCATGGATTAAGTTCAAACCATCCCCTAAGTATAGTATAAATAGTTCAAAAGCCATACTGATAATTGAAATAAGGCATAAAAGAGAGCCGAAGACTTACAATGCTATTCTTGTGACTATTTTATTCGACGCTTTCGAAGGGACATAAATGTCTTGATTATATCATCTTCATCAACTTCAAAGAAAATATCCCGCTCAATGAAGGTGACTAGACAACAATCATAAAAAAGACTATCTCCCATCTTATTTCTTAATTTTGTTTTCACAATAACCATTGTAGAAAATACCCTTTCAACACTTGCCATTGCCACAAGTAGAGGCAATACCAATTTGAGGAGCTCATAAACCATATCAGACACTCTGTGTCTCTTTGTTTCAATAATCTTAACTGAGAGATCAACAATATTGTCTAGACCTTTGAAGCTATCATCCTGTCTCATGTCATCAATCTAATTATGTAGCTGTAATTCAAGTTTGAGTGATTAGAAATAACAGCAGCTGCCGCTGCCTTCGTTTTTGCTTCATGTTTTTGGAAAAGAGATGCAATGTCCCCGTTTCTCTCCATAACTGCATAAAATATTACAAAGAACACAGTGCCAAATAATTAAATAAATTGCGCTTGCACGATTGAACACTCACATGTAATTATGGATCACTCACATGATACGAGTACTCAACAAAAGATCAATCTTTATCGACTCTAATGTTGGGACAAATCCTCGACCTTGCTCGTGATGGATGATTTTATGATTTTAGCGCTAAGCAATTAGCAATTAAAGTACATATGAATTTTTTATAAAAAGCCGAAAACAAGAATTGAATCTCACCTGAACGGCTGAACAATTCTGATCACAAATGCTGGTGCGGTCATAGGGCAGGGCGAAGGCCGAAGTGACGAACGGCGAACGGGACGAGGTCACGAGGACGACTGGACAATGATAGCCCGCGGGCTACAGCTGACGGCGGCGGACGGCGTGAGTGATCCAGACGCGCAGCCACGCAGGACGCGTGAATCGTGATGAAGATGATGATTAGATGAGCCGTCGAGCGTCGAAGACTCAAAGTATACGGCGGCGCTGCCTCGATCTGTATTGGGCTATTGGCGTCTCCGTCGCTGGCCACATGGGCCTAATGCTCACTCGCGGCCTGCCTCTCGCTCGTGCTTGACGCTGGCACGCTCGGTCTCGGCTCTTAGGTACGCATCAGATGAGTGTTTTTTTTTCTTTTTTATATATATAAATATGTATATATATATATATACGTGCTTACTTGCCAGAATCGCAGGTGTAGCTCCGCCACTGTAGGTAGGAAATGATGAAGTTAGTTATCGCTTGATTCTATTCCATGAAATCCCTATATGTCTTTTATCTTTGTTATTTTAGTTCCATCTCACATGTCCCTTCACCGAAATGTATCCTTGAGTGTGATGGGCGTGATAAGTTTTTCTTTTGCTCTACATAAATAGTTTGATATTTTTTTAACATAGTACGGAGCCATATTTACCCTTATAACCTTATGAGCACCTTCAAAAGATAAAAGCTAGATCCGCAGATCTAAAGATCAATGAAGTTACCACCAGCATCTCATTGTCAACGGTCACTCAACGGCCACGTTAGTTACTACTGGAACAATAGCACCGTTAAACTCTAAATAAATCTAGAAAATTTAGAAAAATACAAGAACCCACGTCAAATCGAGAAAAACATGAGTGGATAGGTTTCTCCACAAGAAAGCTTTCTATTTGTGTACGCTCAGTTCTCTAATTCAGTCATAATAACTTCTCATGATCATGAACCAAGATTTTACGATCTTCAAGGTGAACTCTGCCAAACAAAAAAAATCATCGGGGATGCCCTGTGAGGAATAATGGAATTAGCACTGGAAAAGGACTTATTGTGGACGTACAGATTGTTCCACCACCACTACATAAGATTTGCTTATTGTTTCTTCTTTTTCATTCACAACAAGAGTCCATTTTACATCTTGTTCTTTCTGCCAGAGAAGAGATTCAGGAGAAGAAAGAGCCCCAATCGTACTGAAAACTCGGGCAAAAAAACCTTTGAAGTGGTCAATCACTCATAAGAACGCATACGGTAATTAACTTGGTAATATGCAACTCGATCACTTTCAAAGAAATAGAGAACTAACAGAAAAACGGGATCTCACAAAGCAGGTTGAACACGGCTGCCATGCCACCGGCCACAAATTGTGAGAATTGTAGTAGCCGAATCTTTATGATACAGTATTTGCAAGTTGCAACGCCCTACAAAAAGAACAAGGAAAAATATATGAAAACCCACATATGGAGAGAAGGAAACGGAGAGGCCAGACTTTAGAGCAGACTAATAATGCAGTAGTTTTGTTGTATGTCTTGTTAGGCCAACTAGACTCATCAGATGAAAAAGTGGTACCCTGCAGGCGGTGGGGGTGTACATTACAATAACCTCATGAGAAAGAAGACATGATTGTGAGGGAAAAAGTGGAGAAGTGCGATAGTTATATAGATAACAAAAGTATGCTTGTATATATAGGATGGATAGTAGCTTAAAGTTCTGCGTTCCTATTTGGACTAGTAATTTTGAATGAAACCACCACCACTACATATGTGCATGCATTGTCCATGTCCTTATTAGCAACCTCAGTCTAACTACGTGGAAAATCTGTGCCTGGGAGATACATTTAGGATACAAAAGACTTGCATCCCTAGATACATACATTCCTAGGAGGGGATCAAATGATCATAAAGACTTCAGCCTGTTCGGGAGGCCGTATCGTATCGTGGATTATTTACTGCTGGCTGATTTGGTGTGAGAGAAAAACACTATTCCCGGCTAGAAATTTACGATCGTTTACGAGCAAGCGAACAGGCTCGCCGGAAGCCTGAACAATTGATGAGGTTTATTGAAGTCTGTAGTAGTATTTGTACAAAAAATAATGAAGCTTAAGCTGTTGAAGCTAAACACGTGTTGGAAATATGCATATTTCTACTAGATGTTTGTCACGAGTACAAGGGAGGAGACGGGTTCAAGTGCGAGCGCTCTGGTGGAACTGTCACGCTGACGGAGTTGTTGTCAGTTTAAGGTTGTAACGTGTCCGGCACGTTGTACCGATCCATCAGTATATAAGCTGAGACGATAGCGAGGAGTTAAGACAAGTAGTAACTGAATTTTTTGAAACCCTGAATATAGTTGTCTTCCTCGCGGACTCCCGCCGCGCTTCTCCTTCTTCCCAATCCCTTCTATCCATACAAGCCCGTAACAAATTGGTATCCGGAGCATTCAATAGGGGGGAGGGGGTTGCCAGGGGTCGTGGTCCTAGCGCCGAAGCAGAAGCCCCCGAAGTATCAGCTGGAGATGACTGCGTCGATCGGCTCCTTGAAGATGATGATGGAATCCATGGCGATGTAGTTCGCTGGGTTCTAGGAGAGATGATGAAGATGACCCTCGACAAGTTGAGCGGCCTCGGGCGTGGCGCATTTCGACGAAACGAGCTGCTAGGGCGTTGATGCAAAGCACAACAACGACGACGACACGTGTGATGCGCTTGGATTTCCAGCCACCACCACCGCCATACCACCGCACGCTCTGCATCCTCAACTTTGACCTCCTCCTCTGCAGGAGTGGCTAGACCTAAACATGGCTCCGCCTCAGTCGACGCAGCATACGGCGTCTAGCACTGAAAGCCATAGTTTGGTTTTGGATAATTGATTAAACCTAAGTGTACTAACCTTTGTCATGAGTGAAATGCAAAGATATGTTGGTACACACCAAGTGATGGAGCTTGATGATGGTCATGGTGATGGAGGTGACCAAAAGATGACGATATGTGCTCCAACTTGAAAAAGAAGAAAGAGAAAAACAAAATGGGTTCAAGACAAAGGTATATTTGAAAGATCCATTTTGTTTTGCCACTCAAGACACCATAGAGGGTGTGAGTGGATTTATGATAGATAACCGTACTATAAACAGAGAAAATCTTTAATTGCAATGGTTATCTAGTGCCACTAAGTATGAGTCTCATTTGCATATGCATTGCGCTTAGTGACGTGGTGAGATGCACGAGAAAACCCGAAAAAAATATTTGTGAAAAGCTAACTCTAGTGCTCCAATTTGTTTGGTGCCCTTGGGATGAGTTAGCACTTGTGAAGGGTGTTTAAGAAAGGAAAAAAAGCAGCTGTTGAAATTGGAGAAGCTGCTTGTCTGTGTTGGCTGGCGCTTGGGCCATTGGCACGCAGGCCTGCTGGGCAGCTGCTGTTGGTCGCGCGCTGGGCCTGCTCGCGCTAGCCCAGGCGGTGATGCGCGCAGCTGAAGCTGCTGGGGCTTGGCCCGGCCTGCTGAGTGAGAGAGCAGCGCACGTGGAGGCGCTGGCCGCGTGGGCTGCGCAGCTGGGCGGGCCTGTCGACCAGGAGAAGGGGGCGCCTTGCTGTGCTCGTGAGGCTGCTAGGCTGGGGCGTCTGTGTGCACGCGGAATGGGAGCAGAGGCACAGCGCTGCTCGTTGATGCGCTCACGCGCGTGGGGGCGCGAGCGGCACGCCCGGTGTCGGGAGTGGGAGGCACGGGTGCCGCGCGAGATGGCGGCAGGGGCGCAACGCGTTG